GAGGAGGTAGAGCAAATAGGGGGGAAGCGGGGGAGAGAGAGTGAGAGAGAGAGACAGGGAAGCGGGGAGAGAAAGGAGACAGGGAGAGAGACAGGAGGGAGGGGGGGGGGGGGGGGGGCCCGATCAGAAGGAGGCAGTGAGGCACAGAACAAACCATTAGAGGACTACTTATGAGTTGCAGCGCACCATACATCGACTGTACGAGCCCAAGCTGCATCGGTGAAGCCCCTACAGCACAACGACCCGCAGATGACATCGATTATATCTGGAGTGAATTAGGGGACAACGGGAGGGAAGAAAGGACGTGACAGAAGATAGGAGAAGGTAGGAAGAGAGAGTGAGGGAGGGAAGGGAGAGGAGGACAGGAGGTAGGGAGGAAGGTAGGGAAAGAGGAGAAGGCAGGAAGACACAGACGAGACGGAGAAAAGGAGGGGAGCAAAGGAGGGAAGGAAGGAAGGAAGGAAGCACAGGAATGACGGGAAAAAGGGAGGGAGAAAGGGAAGGGGAAAAGGGCGGGAAAGGGCAGCCAAATCTACCAACACTAGGCCTGTGCATGATACATAAAAACAACCACAGAGATGTTACATGCTGAGCCTGCACACGGGCCCCACGACAGTTGCTGGGGGCCCCCAGGCCGCACGCCCCTCAGACGCGCGCCCTGGAGGCCCACGGCCGGCCTCAGGGCCGCAGGTTTCGATTTGAGGCAGCATTCATTTATTTATTTTAATCATTTATTTATTCGCTGTCCGGTTTTTGTCTGTTCAGGCATCGTTTCAGACTTGCAGTTCGTCCGAACAGACTTTCGGTCTGTTCGGACAAGGCCACGTTTTTGGCCTGGTATGTAGGCAGGCCCTGTTGGACCAGGTCCATTTTGTCCGGTAGTGGACGCTCCCTGCTGCATCAGCAGGGAGGGCCTGGACGTTCGGTAGGGACCCAGGCAGGCCGTTTTGAGGCCAGGACCAGAGGCACACGGAGGCACACCCGCGAGGCCCAGCGCTACTTATAGCTGGGCCACGCCTGGGCAGACGCACAGTTCGAGTAGCTCACTTCTTGGGCGACACGCTGCTGAAGCACGCGACAGTGCTACGCTAGAGGCAGAGGTGTAGGTAGGGAGTGAAGCTGAGGCCATACCAATGTCGGCGGAGATCTTACCTGGGCGCGATAGCTGGTCTTCATGCCAGCGCCCTGCAGCACCGAGGAGACAGGCGGCGACAGTTAGTACAGGGCGGCAGTTACCTGCAGGTGAGATAGTGAGGAGGGCGACATCTTCTTCTTCTTCTTGCTCTCGCCCTCCATCTCTCCTTCTTCCTCCTTTCCTCTCCTCCTTCTTCTTCTTCTTCTTCTTCTTCTTCTTTGAGAGAGAGAGAGAGAGAGGTTACAGGCAGAGGTTACATCGGGCCGTGAGGCCCAGGATCTGACTCGACATTTTGTGGCAGACATTGATTGGACATTCGGCAGGGAGACTATTTTTGGACTTTGCTATCGCGATCTTGGTCTTCTCCCTCGTCTCCATCTCCGTCTCGCCTCTACCCCCCATCGCCTCATCCGTGGTATCTCCCCATGTGCATGATCAAGGAGGGACCATTCGTCTATGTATGCAGTCTCTCCTCTCTCTCTGACATGTGTGGTGTATGATGGAGTGTCGGGTCGGTATCTGACAGGTCAGGTCATATCTTAGAATCTTCCGCTGCGCTACATTGTGCTATTTTCATATGTATCTGGATGTACATTGCTTGTTGATGCTTTGCTGACACTGCATTGTCCATTCGACTCCTTTTCATCACTCCGCATACATCGCTCGAAAAAGCATGTATCAGTTGGTATCGGAGTCCCGCGCGTGAATCATGATCGATTGATCGATCGACCGATTGATTGATTGATTGATTGATTGATCGAATGATCGATCGATTGATCGATCGATCGATTAATTGATCGATCGATCGATTAATTGATCGATCGATTGATTGATTGATTGATTGACTGTGAGTGGTTGATCGATTAGGATAACCTAATTCAAATCCTATTCACGATTTTCTACCTACTCTGCCAAATTCCAAAAAAAAGATACTTTCGGAATTCTTTTCTTTGACGCAAATTCGTTTTTTTCACAAAATCCGAAATTGCGCAGCAGCAGAAACTTTAGATTTTCTTTTTTTTTACTTCTGAAATATCGCTGCTTGATAAGTCCGAAATTTTTTGGAGTTCTTCCTTTGCGCTAATCCGCTTTTTATTAGGCTACCAGCCGGGCCGCTCTGGTCACCTTATTTTCCCGGGTGGCCCGGCCGTACAAGCACCGGAGGCGGTCCCAGCCCCCCCCCCCCCAAAAAAAAACGAAAATTCCGAGAAAAACTCTATGTTACGCAGAACAATAAACTGAACAACTTTTGCCTCAGTGTTACATCGAAATTTTTCACCAAGTTTTTTTTTTGTTTTTTGTTTTTTTTTTTTGGCCCAGCCGGGCAAGCGGTCCCAGGCTACTCAGGTAGCCTAGGTTTTTTATAAATTCTGACTCACGCATGAATGGGTAGCTGGAAATTTCGATTTCCTTTATTTTTTGGAATTTCGAATTTTACGTTACTTTAATAATCCAAAATTTTACTTTTCTCAGAAAATCTCTCTTCGCAGTTGAGTTTTGGGATTTCACTTCCCAAAATCGAAAATTGCTGCGCTTACTCTCATCTGGAATTAATCCGAATTTTATTTTTCTTAATTCGGAATCACCTGAACTTGCAATTTTTTTTTGCAGGTCAATTATTATTCTGTTTCTCTGATTATATCCGCAGTCTGAAGTTCAAAGGGTTTTGTTTTGTATAATTATTTCAATTTCGGGATTTTGGGGATTGGGAGACCTACCGACCTTGCAATTTCGAATTTTTTAATTATTTTTCGTTTGAAAAAGCAAACTTCGACCTTTTCGACTTTTTGATTACTGGCTCCTTATCTGGGCGATCAGTGCGACCCCATGGAGGTGGGGAAGTGCTAGAATCTCATCTTCTCCCCTCCCACCCATCCCATCTACTCTGCTGGTTTTTCTTCTTCTTCTTCTTCTTCTTCTTCTTCTTCTTCTTCTTCTTCTTCCTCTCCTCTACTACTGCAGCATTGGTAAGTTGCCACATCAGCACAGTGCCACGTCAGCATGCCACATCAACAGGCCACGTCAGCAGGCCTCGTCAGCGACACATCAGTGAAACGTCAGCAGCAGCTAGTGCCACCCGTTCCTGCAGCATATGCCCGCAGTCACCTGATCAAAGACAGGTGACATGGAATGGAAGGCAGGCGAAACCGCTGAGGTCTATGAGGCCCGCATGTTGGACATGATGGTGGAAATGAAGAAGAACGCAGAGGCGGCGACAGCCGCACGGAAGAAAGAGGAGGAGGAAGCAGAAGAACAACGCCGACTCACGGAAGAACAATGCGAAAAGAGTGAAGCAGCAGCAGCAAGGGCCACCGATGAGGAACTCGTGCGACGACGAGGACTATTCAGGGAGGAACGCGCACTTCACGCACTGGCCGTGATTGGCGGAAGGAGGCCGAGGACAAAACAGCCAATGACTGTGGGACCAAGCTCGCAATACTGCTCACCCGCGTCACCGACCTGCTGGCCACCTCCATTGCACAGCAGGAGAACATCCATAGCCTCAACCACGTGGTCCAAGACCACATGCCGACGTTCGCACAGTTGACCAGCCACATACAGCAGCTGGAACAGCGACCCACTGCCACTCCAACCGCCACCCCCCCCAACCTCGCCGCTCGCGTCAACGCTTTGGAGATTGACGTAGGTACGCTCAAGGACGGTGCTCAGCAGCAGCATGCAACAAATGAGCAGTTTGAACAGCAGATTTGTGCAGCAGCCGCTGGTCCAACCTTGACACCTCACGAGCGCATACCCAAGTTCGATGGCATCCCGGTCTTCTGCGACGCATCGAAGACCGAGCCAATTCCATGGTGGCGCCACTTTTGACCTTCGATTGGACTTGTATAACGTCAGCGCCCCCAACCGGCATGCTTATTTATATCACCGGTCGGGGGGCGCGTGTCTTATGTCACGCAGGCAGGGAGTAGGAAATGATGAGAGTTGAAGAAGGACGATCTTATGTCACCATAGAGGAAGAGAGATGGGTAAGACAGTGTACATGGATATTGTGACAGGATGTCGAAAGATGAATCAAGCGCAAAGGGAGGAGAAGGAGAAAGGATCAGATCGCGGCTTACCTTTTACGCATGGCTACTTCAACGAAAACAAGAACGTTCTACTCTTGGCGTCTTCCAACATCAATCTAGAGCAGCATACTGCTCATGTTCCCCTGCGGCTCTCTCTCTCTCTCTCTCTCTCTCTCTCTCTCTCTCTCTCTCTCTCTCTCTCTCTCCGTGGCAAGCACAGTGCCCCCCCCTTACACCCACATGCACACGCACATGCACACAGACACGCACACGAAGAAGGGCGCCGGCAGGGCCTACCGGTAAGGTTTAGGAGGGTGGCGGTAGGACCTACCGGTACAGGTAGGTGACCGTAGGTCTATTCAAGGTCCATCTGGGCCATTGCCTCAGTAGTACCCAGTCCACGCCGTGTCAACCCGGTAGGAAGCAGCAACCGAGATTCGATATTTGTTACATTCTTGCAACAATCCAGGCCATGGCCTTCTCGGACTGCGAATGGCCCCGATTCGGAATTTGTTACATTTACCAATTTTAGTAGTGTAAGGACACCAATTAAAAGTGACAGAAGACAAAAAGAGAAAGCTGCCTCCATGGTTGATTGATTGATTGATTGGTTGGTTGATTGATTGAGTGAGTGAGTGATTGAGTGATTGAGTGATTGATTTGTTGGTTGGTTGGTTGGTTGGATTGATTGATTGATTGATTGATAAACCAATTGCTTTCTTTCTTGCTTACTTGCTTGCATGCTTGCATGCTTGCATGCTTACTCTTACTTACTCTCTTCTGTGATTGCTCGATCTATTGAACAACTGCTTGATCAATCAATCAATCAATCAATCAATCAATCAATCAATCAATCAATCAATCTGATTGAACAACTGCTTGCTTGATTGATTAATTGGTTGATCGTTTGCTGACTGAACACTTGTTTGGAAGTTATGGAGAAGCTGAATCATTCACTCAACCAATCAACTTTGTCAAGCAGTCAATCATCAAACAAATCAACCAAGGGACCTCTCCAGCAACCAATCAAGCAACCAATCAAGCAACCAATCAAGCAACCTATCAAGCAACCAATCAAGCAACCAACCCAATCAAGGACGATTTTGAGCCACTCACCTAGATCCTTGATCAACGGTGCGAGCAGCGGCATGACAAGACCAATTCCGATCAGGTCAATGAATACAAGCAGCAAGATCACAGTCCTCTTGTATGGATGCTTCCTCGACAAACCTGACCCTCCTACTCCTACTCCTACTCCTACTCCTGATGCTGATGCCATCAAACCTCCTCCCTCCTCTCCCACATGCCCCCCCGCCATTCGACGTCCTGCCTCTGTGATTCCCAATGCTGATCGCTTCCCACCATCGCCAACCCCATCACTCGTGCTTGGTACCATGGTGCTCCCTCGAGTTTCTCTTCTTTCTCTTCTTCAGCTTCTTCACCCAGGTGCTGGACAACAATTCCCCCTCCCTCACTCTCCTCTCTTTCCACCCCACACACATACACCCACACAAAAAACAAAAGGAGTAGATTCAATTTAGTCGACAAGAAAAAGAAGGGAAAGCATGCAACAAACCAACTCATCATTCTTGTGCTGCTGATATAGAAAGCGACCTGGGTTACCTGGCCAGGTCGCACGGGTTGCCTCGGTTGGCCCCGCGTGGCCCGGCTGGGCCAGGTCCGGGCAAAGTCCCAGTCAAGGTCCCGGGCAGTCCCAATGAGGAAAAAAAAAAATCTGTGAAAAAAACTATGTCATGCAGAATTACAAATCAAACTTAAAAAAAAAAAAAACAAATCAAACAACTTTTGGCTGTGGGCCACCCTGGAATTCGTTATGGAACCCATCCTAAATTATACCATTCCCCCTTAAGCCCCTTTAAGCCCCTTTAAGCCCCTTCCAGCCCTTTTGAAAACCCGCTTAAACCCCAGAGACACCCTTTGGTGAGGCCACCAACTCCAGAGATAAGGCCAGGATTGGGGCACATCTCAGTGGCCACAAAATTGCCCCACTGCCAAAAGAAAGGAAAAGAAAAAAAAAAAAAATTTTGGTGTCACCCAGGGTACACCCCCTACAGGTTTGCCCAGGTAGCCCAGCCAGGTGGCCTGGGTGGGGCTACCCTGGTACCACAAAAAGCAACACTATTGAAGTCAAAAAAAAAAAAAACAGAAAGCAACCAAAAAAAAAAAAAAAAACAGAAGGATCATCAACATGATTTTTTTAATACAATCAATCAAATTGAATCAATCAATAAATAAATTGCAATGAGACCACCACATGCATGGAACGCTGGCACACAAGTTTCACACAAAGCTGAACACACATGAAGCACACGTGAGATACCAAGTCCAAAAATTGTACCGGCTACATCACAAAGTAATGGAATCGTCTTCTTCGTCACTTGCGGCTATGGCCACCAACACACAACATGCACCTAGACCTCTCTCTCTCCCTCTCTCATACTTCCTCTCTGCCTGTTGCTGCTCTCTCACAGGTATAACACTCGCCTCTCAGAATGTCTCTCTCTCTCTCTCTCTCTCTCTCTCTCTCTCTCTCTCTCTCTCTCTCTCTCTCTCTCTCTCTCTCTCTCTC